TCCTGCATCTTGTTTTAACCTTACATAACTCCTTCCTGTTACATCACTGAGAACAATTCCTTTTAATGGGCCCCGCACCTGGACAAGTGAGACAAACTTCTCAGGCTATGATGCTACACCTAAATAGCTTTCCTCATGGAAATGCTGGCCTGAGTAGGAACCAAAAATAAACTGCAAAGCCAATTCCAGAGGGACCTGTCATCAGGGCGCTTCACACACCCAACGCACAGCCTTCACAAAAGCAATGTAACAGCAAACAGCTTGAATGCAGACACCATGTCTCAAATCTGGGAGACACTAAGTGTTTCGGCAACTTAAAAGACAACACCAAGAGGTGGGAAAGCAACTGTGGGGTGTGGCGGCACACACCTGCTTGCATCCCAGCCCTTGGGAGGAGAGGCCCAAGGGTCAGAAGCACAAAGTCATCCTCGGCTGCAAGGAGAGTCTGAGGGCAGCTCGGCTGATGTGAGACCCTATTAAGGGAAGGCAGGAAGGAGGGGGAGGGAGGGAGGAGAGAACCAGAAAAAGCTGAAACAAGCACCACCAGAAGGAATCCTGAACTGACTGACAGACAGCAGTCGGGCTCCTTCCTCAGGACTGCTCTGTTCCAGCGTGACAGGCGGCAACAAGGAAGACCACCTGACTAGCCAGGCTCAGGCAGCAAGGGGCTGTCGGCCTTTGGCTTCATTTCAGAATGGTTTTCAAAGGATGAGCTGGGGAAAGGGCAAGCCTCCACAGATGGATAGGTGACCACCAGGCTGGTCAGGAGCTGGGGAGAAGGGAGTCTGCCTGGGAGAGCCTCTACTTGTTTGCTTAAGTTCTTTTTCAGGGGGTGGGGAGGTGGAGGGTGGTTTTTTGTTGTGTTTTGAAACTGGGTCTCTCTATGTAGCCTAGGCTGCTGTGAACTCATTATGTAGACCAAGCTGTCCTGGAGCGCTAGAATAAGGGTGCTAAGACTAAAGATGTGCACCACCACATCTGGCTGTTCTTAGGTTCTAAAGAAGCTTAATCTTGGCTGCTAGGAGCTTCAGAAACCCAACCATAAATTCTGCCATTTCTGTAGGAAGCAACTTTACTTCTGCTGCTTATGTATGTGGAGGGGACTGGAAGGGAGTAGGACTTGCTGCCTATTTCTTCATCTTTCTGTTGGGGGGGGGAACGACACACGGTGTTCGGAGACAGGGTTTCTCTGTGGCTTTGGGGGCTGTCCTGGAACTCGATCTTGTAGACCAGGCTGGTCTTGAACTCAGAGATCCCCCTGCCTCTGCCTCCCCGGAGTGCTAGGATTAAAGGCGTGTGCCATCACTGCCCGGCTGTCTTTCTTTTTTAAATATGTTCACTAAAAGCTTACCTTTAAAGAAAGCATTGGGGCCGGAGAGACGGCTCAGCAGTTAAGAGTGCTTGCAGTTCTTCCAGAGCCCAGGTTCAGTTCCCAGCACCCAGGTCAGGCAGTTCACATAAACCCACACAGACATATATACCCACACACATAATTAAAAATAAAAACAAATCTTTTTAAAGAGAGGGAGATATTAAGCCAGGCATAACAGCACACACCGTGAAATTCCAGATATTCAGGGAGCTGAGGCAGGAGGATGGTAAGTTTCAGGTCAGCATGGCTACAATAAAGTGTCTCAGGGCCTGGATGACAGGAAAACCCAGGGAAGGGACACTAGTATTAAGTCTCTCATTCTTATTCTCCAACTGAACATGTAAACTACAAAAATACTTCAGGGTATAAGGAATACACCAGACACAGTTAAAATTATTCCAACAATTGTCAAAAAAAAGGCAGTGGTGACACACACCTTTAACAGCATTCAGGAGGTAGAGGCAGGCAGATCTCTGTGACTTCCTGGATGTTTGAACCACAGCTGTAAGCTGAAATAAATCTTTTCCTTCCCAATTTGCTTTTAGCCATGGTGTTTATCACAGCAACAGAAGCACTAAGACATTGCAGGGTGATGCTAGGTGTGGAGACACATAACTTTATCCCAGCACTTGGGAGGCAGAGGCAGGGGGCTCTCTGTGAGTGAGTCCAGCCTGGTTTACATAGTAAGTTCCAGGCCAACCTGGTCTATAGGGAGTTCCAGGACAGCCAGAGCTACAGAGAGAACCTTGTCTCAGAAAACCAACAAACGTACCAACCAACCGACAACAACAACATCAAAAAAACTGGGTGTGTTGGTGTACATCTTTAACTCCAGTACTTGAGAAGCACAGTCAGGAAGATGTCTGAGTTTGAGGACAGTATGGTCTATATAGTGAGTTCTAGGACAGCCAGGGCTAGAAAGAAATCCAGTCATTTTATTCTGCCAGTAACATAACCAGATTCATGATGAGCAGAAATCAATACACTAACCATCCAAACCTTTCTTTTCGGCAGTCACCCTGATATTAAGATGAATGAGTTGGGGGAGGGGAAGACAAGCTTCCTAAACAAAGTACAGCAAGATCCCAGAATCCACTTCTGTCATCTGCATCTGTAGCTCCTGATGACAGACAGCTGCTACCTATAAATGCACATCCTCCCCAAAACATCTGTTCTCTAGTCCTTAGCAACAGAATAGGGTCCTCTCACCTCAGATACTCACAGACCACCATTCCTTGGAATCCCACTGCTGTAAGCCACAAAAACTGCACAGTAAACACCAGAGCCACAAGATGAGATCCAGTACACTCAAACCAAGTTACAGGAGGAAATCTGCAAAACCTAAAGTTGTTTTGTATGTAACTCAAGAGCAGGCTTTTCAGGTCAAATTTTATTACATGTGTTGGGAGAGGGAAGATAGCAGTAAACAAAGCTAACCACCAAGACCCTGTCGAAGAGAGACAACTGACAAGCATGGCGGTGCCCAGAGGCAGAGCCAGGCCGAGCTCTCTGAGCCAGGGCTGGGGTCACAAAGCTCAGGAGAAGTTGGCTGATGGACAGGAAACATTTTCTGAACCTCTCAGGTGGTGGCCCAGCCTTTAATCCTAGCACTCGGATCTGTGAGTTCGAGGCCAGTCTGATCTACAAAGCAAGTTCTAGGTCAGAGCTACACAGTGAAACCCTGTCTCCCAAAAAAAAAAAAAACACTGACAACACACTGCAGACACAGAAGGGGCAATAACTTTCCCCCCAACACAACACTAATCATTTTTAGTAGAAATTCTGTTTCAAAATGGATTATTTTCCCAATTCTTTTGCCTGGAAATTCAGTTTTCTTAAGAAGTGGTGAAGCTGTTGCCTGATTTAGTTTTTCTGAGAAGCTGAGGTGTGTGGAGTTGCGCCTGTGGATGCGCACTGTTGTTTTTTTTTTTTTTTTGGTTTTTACAAGACAGGGTTTCTCTGTATTGTTTTCCAGGCTGTTGGTCCAGCCCAGCCTCGAACTCACAAGAGATCCGCCTGCCTCTGCCTCCCGAGGGCTGGGATTAAAGGCGTGCACCACCACCGCCCGGCTGGATGCTCACTGTTAATGAAAGAGATGCTGACATCTGCAATAACTCCTGCACAGGAACTAGAATTCAGGAGCAGGGCTTTTTCCTCCCTGGTCTCCTGCCATTCTCCATCGGCAGTGTCTCCCTTCCTAGTATGGCATGAAGCCATATCCTTCTGCTGTCTTTTTCTCCCAGTATGAAAAACCCGGATTAACTTTTGTTTGTTTTGAGACAGGGCTGTCCTGGAACTCAATCTGTAGACCAGGCTGGCCTCAAACTCAAGAGATCCTCCTGCCTCAGCCTCCCGAGTGCTGCCACACCCGGCCCTAGATTAACCTCTGAAGAGCCTCCTGTGATGGGTTTGGTGGTATGGCTCCCTTTAATCCTCCATACTGCAGAGGCTGAGGTGGGAGTATCAAATTTCCAGGCCAGCCGGGACAACTTGGCATGACTTACTCTCAAAATAAAGTTAAAATGGATTGAGGATGTAACCCTGTGGAAAGGCGCGGTCTAGTATCAAGTCCCTGGGTTCAACCCTTAGCACTGCAGAAATTAATGAATTAATTAACAGCATCCTCCCCCCCACCAAACAAAACAAAACAAAAAACCAGACCTTTCACCTTCCAGGGACCTAAAATGAGGCAGGCTTAGAAATGTTTCCTGACTGGGCAGGAGGGGGAGCTGGGAGATAAGAGATAGGTGTTTGAGAGAGACTCACTGATAGAAATTACACTCAGGAATTCAGGCCCGCAGACCAACCTTGGGTTAAGGTTTATGATGACAGACCTCTTTGATAGAATCGTTCCGTTCACTAGCCTCATCCCAACTCGGTGGGAGAGTGTGGTATTCGCCTAACAGCTCCAGGTTAAGAAAAACCCGGCAGCTTTCCCCGCGGGTCCCTCCTCTAGCCACGGCTGCCCAGGATACCCCCCACACCCCAAGAAGTCTTTCAAAAGGACACCCAACCGCAGCGGCTACCATCTCCCCCAGTACTATTAACATCATGGCTCCGGACTGCTCATCATTTTCCTCGCAAAGTTCTCCCCACAGCAATCCAAAAAGAGGCAGCGGGGTTAAAACAAATCAGAAAAAAAACCAAAAAAAGGACGCCGGGCCGCTGCCCACCACGCGTTCCGTCAGCACCTGCTCAACTTCTTGGGTTTTCACCTCGATCTTTGTTTTGGAATGCCCACGGCCAAGCCCTCCCCGGCACGCACGGCCCTCCCTTCTGGAAGCACAATGCAGCACGGAGCCTTTTTTTTTGATAGAGAGAGAGAAAGGGAGAGGGTGTCAGCAAAACGCCGCACTGGTGTAATGCCGAACACGCCTCAGAGCCTGAGGAGGTCCCCACGGGCGTCCGTGCGGCGCGTCCATCGCCGAGGCCCACACACGCGCGCGCGCACACACACACACACACACACACGCACACACAACCACCGCCGAGCATCGCTCGCAAGGCCCCTCCCCTCGCCCCGAGCCCTGCCGGCGTGCGCGCCCAGGCCGGTGCGATGACGGTGCACCGGGCGCTGAGGCGGCGCTCCCCCGCCAGCCCTCCCGGCCGCCCCGGCCCGCCGCCTCACCTTGGTCTCCTTTACGTGTTGCTTGACGCCCTCCGGGTACCACTGGACGCGCACGTAGCCGCGCCGCAGCGGGCTGGCCCGGCCCTCCTCGTGGCCCGCGCCCCCGGCCTCGGAGCAGCCCGAGCTGCCGCGGCCGTCCTCGTCGCCCTCCGAGTCCGAGTCCTCGCCGTGGATGAGGCGCACCAGCCCGAAGTGCACCGAGCCGCGGTAACGGCCCGACACCAGGTCGTGAGAGAACAGCAGGCGTTGCGAGCCCGCTTCGGGGCCGGATTCGGAGGACGGCCCTGAGGCCGAGTCCGTGGCGGGCGCGGGCGGCGGGGCGGCGGCGGGGGCTGCGGCCGGGGTCGGGGCGGCGGCGGCCGCCACCGGGGCCTGGGCGGGAGGAGCGGGCGCGGGCGCGGGCGCTGCGGGATCCGCCATAACTGCTCGGCGCGAGTCTCGGGCGGCGGCGGCGGCGGCGGCGGCGGCGGCTGCAACAGCGGCGGCGGTAGCGGCGGCGGCGGCTTAAGCGCGGGGAGGCGGGGCCGGCGGCGCGGGGGCGGGGCCAAGCGCGCTGACGTGGACCTACGTGCCTCCGTCGTTAGGGCGCTGGGATGCTGTTGCTAGGAGCCGCCGCCCGGTCGCTAGGGGACGCTGAAGATGCTTGGGGCGGGGGCGGAAGGACTGCCGCCGCGAGGGCGTGGCAGGGAGGCAGGGAACTAAGGGGCAGGATCAGGGGTGGAAGGGAGGGCGGTGGTCGCAGAGGACTGGAGGGGCGGAGACTGCAACCCGGCTGACAACTTTTTTTAAAAAAATTAATCTGTGTTAGCAGGCCAGTGGTGGCGCACGCCTTTAATCCGGCGCACGCCTTTAATCCTAATCCCGGCACCCGGGAGGCAGAGGCAGGCCGATCTCTGTGAGTTTGAGACCAGCCTGGTCTACAAGAGCGAGTTCCGGGACAGGCTCCAAAGCTACACAGAGAAACCCTGTTCCCAAAAACATAAATAAATAAATAATAAAAATAAAGCCATTTGGTGGTGGCGCATGCCTTTAATCCCAGCACTTGGAGACAGAGGTAGGCAGAGCTCCTAAATTCAAGGCCTGGTCTACAGAGTGAGTTTCAAGACAGCTAGAGCTACAAAGAAAAGCCCTGTCTTGAAAACAAAAAAAGTAATTTTAAATTATTGATTATGATTATACGTGTGTATACGATGGGTGTTTCACAAGTGACATGAGGTCAGAGTACACCTTGGTGGAGTTGGTTCTTTCTTTTCACCTCTATGTGGGGTTCTGGGGATTGAACTCAGGTCATCAGGTTTGTGTAGCAAATGCTTTGCCTACTGAGCCATCTCATCAATCCCCCAACTGCTTTTTTCCCATTTTCCTATAATGGTAATTTGTTTGTTTGTTTATTTGACACAGGGTCTTTCTACGTAGCCCTGGCTGGCCTGGAATTCTCTATGTAAATCAGGCTGGACTCAAACTCAGAGATCTGCCTGACCCTGCCTCCCAAGTGAGTACTAGGATGAAAAGTGTGTGTCACCACCCGTAGTCAACAAGTTCTAACAAGCGCCTTTAGCATTCCAGTCTAGTTGTAGCCCTGCAGGGTGACGCCATCTTTGTCCTGTAGGTGCCCAAGTCACTGCAGCACACTTGTGCCCATAGCCATCATATATGCACATATAATCATAATCAATATTTTTTAGATTTTATTTATTTGTTACATATACACCAGATTGAATTGTAGATGGTTGTCAGCCACCATGTGGTTGCTGGGAATTGAACTCAAGACCTCTGGAAGAGCAGTCAGTGCTCTTAACATCTGAGCCATCTCTCCAGCCCCCGATCATAATCAATATTCTAACCATCATATATGCACATATAATCGTAATCAGTAATTTTCTAAAAAGTTATCAGCTAGGTGTGTTTGCACATACCTTTAACATGTACCGTAGAGGACAGTGTCCTTGGGCACATAAAACAAATACTCATTAAATAGCTGAAAAAGCAACTCTAAGGTAGCTTGTAAGCAAGGCTTTAATAGATAGGTATGGAGTGTGTAGACTCCCGAGCAGAAGTCGGAAGGTCATGACCCCTTAGGGATTTGTTGGTCTACAGGTTGTGATAGAGAGAGACAATAAAGGTCAGTAATCGGAAGTACTAGTGGTTTGCCTTTAAGCACCTCTTGGGGGGCTGGAGGGAGATGGCTCAGTGGTTAAGAGAACTGACTGCGCTTCCAGAGGACCTAGGTTCAATTCCCAGCACCCACATGGCAGCTCACAACTGTCTGTAATTCCGGTTCCGTGGGATCCGGTACCCATGGTCAAAGGGCCAATGCACATAAAATCAAAATTAAAAATAAAGCCGGGCGTTGGTGGCGCACGCCTTTAATCCCAGCACTCGGGAGGCAGAGGCAGGCAGATCTCTGTGAGTTCGAGGCCAGCCTGGTCTACAGAACAAGTTCCAGGACGGCCTCCAAAACAATACAGAGAAACCCTGTCTTGAAAAAAACCAAAAATAGATAAATAAATAAAAAGAGAAACCCCTCTTGGTGAATCTGGAGCTCAGAGAGGCCTCCTATGCATAGCTCAGGGGTAGTTGGGAGTGGGTGAAGGTAAGGACCAGGAAGATCTCTGATTTCTAGTCCAGCCTGGTCTATATAGTTAGTTCCAGGACAGCCAGAACTACATAGTAAGACCCCCATCTTGAAAACAACAAAACAAAGTAATAGCAAAAAAAGTAGGATCTGTGATTCCAAATCGTGGCTGCCTAGTGCTGATCTATAAAAACAAGCAACTTGGGCTGTAGTGTCGAACACCTTTGATTCCAGTACTCAGGAGGCAGAGGCAAGAGGCAAGAGGCAGGCGGATTTCTGTGAGTTCGAGGCCAGTGATTCCAGTACTCAGGAGGCAGAGGCAAGAGGCAAGAGGCAGGCGGATCTCTGTGAGTTCGAGGCCAGCCTGATCTACAGAGCGAGTTCCGGGACAGCCAGGGCTGTTACACAGAGAAACCTTGTCTTGAAAAACCAACCAACCGCCCCCCCCCCAAGAAAAACCCAAGCAACTGAGTTTCTTTCCTTCTTCCTGAAACTATTATTTTGGGGAGAAGGACAGTGAAGGAGCCTTGGTACACGTGTGGGCATCAAAGGACAGCTTGCAGGAACTGTTCTCTCCTTCCATCAGTTGGGTCCTGGGGTTTGAACTCAGGTCCTCAGCCTTGACAGCAAACGCCTTTACCCTATGAGCCTTCTTCCCAGCACTTTTCTTTTTCCTCTCTTTCTTTCTTTCTTTCTTTTTTGTTGGTTTTTCAAGACAGGGTTTCTCTGTGTAGCTTTGGAGCCTCTTCTGGCACTTGCTCTGTAGACCAGGCTGGCCTCAAAAGAACTCACATAGATTCGAATGTCTCTGCCTCCTGAGTGCTGGAATTAAAGGCGTGCGCCGCCACCACCCGGCTCCCAGCCCTTTTTTCTTAATTAAGATTTTTACTACTTTTGTTCTTTATTTGGTTTGTGTGTGTGACTTGTGTATGTGTGGGCCTAGGTGTACCCTGTGAAAGTCAGAGGGGAACTTGAAGTACTGAGCAAGCTCAGTTTGCTGCTCTTCACCTCTGTCTTCTTGTATGTAAAATAGGGTTGACAACAGCAATGCCTGCATCGTTGCAGGGCTAAGATTAAATGTAGAACTGTGCCTGGCATATAGCTCTCTCTCGGTAACATTTAATCATTACTGTAATACTTCAAAGCCCCCTGCCTAGACTCAACTGCCGACTGGCAGAACTGTTATTCAGCCACCCTATGGTTGGCTCCTTATTACCACTGTAAAATATAAATAGTAATTCTATTAATTTGGTGTGCCACCTCAGTAAGGCCCTAAAAATTTAGACACATTCTCAGATGAAGAATTTCTAATGGGCTGTTTAAAAGGAATTAAGAATACTCAAGATCAGCCTCTAACCTTGCTCAGTGAAAAGCATTTTTCACACATTTCCCCCTCCAGACAGTCAATGACAGTCTGGTGGTTTGTTATTACAGTATTTTAGGCCCTTCAATAGGGGAAAAGGGCAGAACCCTGCATTTAGGGTAATTTTCTAGATATTGGGGACATGGGACTACACTCAGGGAAAGGTTACTATGCACAGGGCTGGAGAGATGGCTGGGCAGTCACAGGCACTGGATGCTCTTCCAGAGGACCCAGGCTCAATTCCTAGCACCCAGATGGGGGCTCACAGCTCCAGCTCCAGATGGGGGCTCACAGCTCCAGGGGGCCTGGTGCTGCCATCTGGCCTCCTCCAGCACCGCATGCATGTAGTTCACAGACACACTGACAGGCAAAACACACACACACACCGAATACAATAAAACTTTACAACTGGCTTGGTGGAAAACACCTTTAATCCCAGCACTCAGGAGGCTGCACCAAGGCAGATCTCTTTGAGTTTGAGGCCAGCCTGGTCTACAAATCAAGTTCCAGATCCTATTTCAAAAGGCAAACAAAAACAAGCTGGAGAGTGGTGGTGCACGCCTTTAATCCCAGCACTCGGGAGGCAGAGGCAGGCGGATCTCTGTGAGTTCGAGACCAGCCTGGTCTACAGAGCGAGTTCCAGGACAGCCTCCAAAGCAATACAGAGAAATCCTGTCCAGAAAAAAGCAAATCCAAGTGAAGGGACTGGAGGGTTGGCTCGGTGAATAAAATGCTTGCCAAACAAGTGTGAGAACCAGAGTTTGGATCCCCGACACTCATGGCAATGTTGGACAGCGTGGTGACCTTCCTGTAATCCCAGTGCTCAGGAGTTGGAGAGCAAACCGGTTGCTAGACTATCTAAATCAGCGTGCCCCGGGTTGATATGAGAGTAATTTTATGTCACCTTGTCACAAACAACAGTCATCTAAGAGGAGAGAACCTCAATTAAGAAGATGCCTCAGGGGGGCTGGAAAGATGGCTCAGTGGTTAAGAGCAACTGTTCTTCCAGAGGTCCTGAGTTCAATTCTCAGCAACCACATGGTGACTTACAACAGTCTGTATTGAGATCTGGTGCCCTCTTCTGGCCTGCAGTTATACATGCAGGCAGAACACGGTACACATTAAAAATAAATAAATCTTAAAAAAAAAAAAAAGATGCCTCAGTAAGATTAGGCCATGGGCAAGCCTGTAGGGCATTTTCTCAATTAGTTATCAATGGAAGAGGGCCCAGCCCACAGCGGAAGGACGGTGTCATCCCTGGGCTGGTGGTCCCGGGTCCTATTAGAGGCAGGCTGAGCAGCCGGGCATTGGTGGCGCATGCCTTTAATCCCAGCACTCGGGAGGCAGAGGCAGGTGGATCTCTGTGAGTTCGAGGCCAGCCTGGTCTACAGAGCGAGTTCCAGGACAGCCTCCAAAGCCACAGAGAAACCCGTCTCGAAAAACCAAAAAAAAAAAAAAAAAGAAGCAGGCTGAGCAAGTCAGTAAACCACACCCCTCCATGGCCTCTGCACCA